GAAGCGGTTAAAACATGGGTAAAGTAACATCAACACATATCGAAATATGCCAAACATCAATATTATTCCATACTTTTCCATCAGATCTGAGAATAGTCCGAACTGTCTTGGATTTATCTGTCACTCGTTATTGTTAGGGAGAATCATCTAATCCATTCTTTATTGGATGAATCATTCCCCATATTTACTTAAATGTCATCTATTGCCATTTATTACTAGTTAATCTTCCATTACTGCTAATACTTTATGAATATTTAATGCTTATTGTTATCAACCCCTTATTGGATCTGTCCCACCTTATCCACGCTCTCAGGATTTGCATCTAGATATATTATCATTAACTAGGTTCAACCCATTATTATGTAAAAATAATAGTTTCAACCAAAAGTTATACTTTTTGGTCAAACAGGTAGAATTAGATTATCCGTTAAAATATGATAATTTATGTTTGCTCTACGAAACTAGGAAAGCATTAAAATTCTATTAAAGGCATATTATACAAATTGTGAAAATGGATAGGGAGTAAAACCATTTTGGGATGATTGATCTGACAATCTATTTTATTGCCACTACTGATTACATACTGAATCTAGATTATTTGATTATTCAGCAAAAGCTTTTCGTTACAAGCAATACTTGAAACAAGTCTTATATAGAAGTTTAAACAAAGAAGTGGGATAGGAAAAAAGGATGCGATGTGAAGAAACATTTTATTCTCTAGAAAAAAACTTAACAGGCAAAATGTTGGCTTACTAGAGATAAATTAGCACACGTAAATGAAAAAAAAAAATCAAACATAAGATCATTTCATGGCACATTTTAAATAAAGGGCAAAGAATTGACAAGGAGTAGGGTGATGAACTGATGATGGTTGGTGGTGGGACAAGTACTTGGGTAAGCTTCTTACTGTATTTATGAAATCGTCCACAAATATAGTCACATATATGATTCCATCATTTGGTAATTCTAAAATGAAAAAAAGATTCTATCAGTTTGTTCTAATTAAATAGTAAATTAACTCAACTTCAAATGAAGCTGTCGTAACCCAAAATCAGTCGTATCAGTGAAATCAAATGTAATCTAAGATAAATCTTGTATACTTCAGTACCTAATTAACTGGTTAAAAATTGGTTTTAGCGGTTAAATGATGAAATTGACTAAAACTATTCTATTTTAGTGATCTACTGTTCTGCTTTATGACTATCATAATCAACTTAAGCCAATTAAATAAGAATGGCTTTATTACATTACTCTCAAGAAAAAAGAAATAAAGAAGAAACACACACACACACACACAAAGAGCACAAGAAAGACGTTTGTTTTAAGATTTTGCCCGCTAGAAGTTAAGCTGCGACTTGCAAGTGTTTTGCCCTTTGAACATTTTTCCATTAAATTCTACAAGTAATCACACAGATATTGACTAAGAATCTTGTAAGCAGTTTGTCTCTTTTTAAGTGGAAGTTGAAGAAAAAGTGCATAAACCATGGAAAAAGTGCAGCTATATATGGACCCATTTCGAAAGCAATACTAAACCATAGCATATATAATTGCATACAGTACACACTAGAGATCTACTAGCAAATTAGGAAATAGAGTATGAAACTTTAAACTTTAAAGTACGGAAATGCCTTTAACAGTCCACCATAGGCAGTACTGTAGTTTGGAACTTGTTTATGATTACTGGTTTTGACCTCTATATAAAACAAGGGAAAAAAGATTTGATCCAATCCAAATTTTAGGATAGAAAGTGCTTTTTCTGTGTTTCCTAGCTACCTATATATGTATGAAGCAATGAGTTTGGCGCTCCACTAGGGTTTTGACTACTCCAATTATTCCCTTTTAATTTCCTTTTTTCTCCATAAGTATAATGTCTTCTGCAGATTTTATAAATTCGATTTTAGCTGTCAAATTAATTATTTCTCGATATTGAAAACGTTCAGAACCTCACTTTTGAAGATAAATTATACAAAAAGGAAACGAAAATGATACTGTATGAAGTTTAGGAAAAGATAAGATTGTTAAAACTCGTTTCATAACATTTGTAAAACTAAAACTCTTCATTTGGAATTAAAAAAAATTAAATTAATTATTTTTAAATAATTAAAAGCACTAATCTTTTTTAACTAAAAAGGATGGAAGAATATCGCCTGCTAACAGTCCTTTTCCGAATTATCTGTCCAGTCAATCCTCTTATATTCCGTTTATTTTAGCAACTTATGATCAAAATGTCTCCTCGTTAAGAGCTCCCGGACGACGGTCAGTGGCGGAGCCACTTACCGGCGAGGGGAGTCAATTGACACCCCTTCGTCGAAAAATTATATCGCGTTGATAGGTTAAATATTTTATTTTTATGTATATATATAATTATGTGTTGACTTTCTTTAACTTTTTCATATGGTTACTTATTTATATTTTGACTCTCCTTAGAGATAATTCTGGCTCCGCCACTTACGACGGTAGAGGAATGAATCAATTCATCTGCTGTAGCACAGGACGTCTTTTTTTTCACAATTATTTTACCTTTGGTTCCTTACAAGTTTACATCCATCTTTTTTCATAGAAAACGTGGAGTAAATTAAAAAGATTAGATATACTTAAGAGCTCTAAAAGAGTACATAGATGCGAGACTTTTATTAAAAAAAAAGAAAGTCTGGGTGGTGGATTGAAAATAAATAAAAAAATAAAAAAATTTGGGTAATTAATTTTTCTACGATGTCTTGTGTATTTGGTATCTAGAAGGTAGCCAAAATATAAGATGATTTTTAGATGTGTTAATTTTATTTTTTATTGTAATATCTTATACTCCATCCGTTTCAATTTAGATAATATAGTTTGATTCGACACAAAGTTTAAGAATAAAAAGAAGACTTTTTGAAATATATGATCCTAAAACGTAAAAGTTTAAGGGACAAAAGCTTTGTGGGCCATACATTTGTCTGACTATAAGAACTTCTTATTAACGATAAAGTGAGTAAAATAAAAAGTTTAAAATTAAATTGTTTTCAAATATAAAAATGTGTCATTCTATTTGGAACGAATTAATAAGTAAAATATGTTATTTAAATTGAAACGGAGAGAGTAGTTATTATCAAAAAAATAATAAGAAAATAGTGTCCAAATAAATTGAAATGAAGTGACTAATAATTTTAAAGAATAAAATGATTAGTTTGTGAGCCGAGTATATATTGGAAACAATCTCTCTATCCTCACAAGTTAGATTTAAGGTATGCGTACACACTAACCTTCTCAGACCTTACGGTGTGGGATAATACCGAGTATGTTGTCGTTTGTGCTAGGATTAGTATGAAGTGGAAGGTGTAAAACAGGAAACTGCAATCCGCGCGTGGTGTTTCTCTCCCTAAACATCGAATCTTTGTTTCTGAAAACCCTCATTTTGAGTACACGAGTGAGTTGTCCTACACTCCAACTGTATAACACTTACAAAAAACCACATTACAAACAAAATGAAAAAGTAGAAACTGAGTAAAATATGTAATACTCCTACTCTACTGTAGTTTATTCTTTAAATTTACTTACTTTTATACGGCTCGGTTGAGCACTCATGTGTCGCTATCCCACTTAAAAGTATAGACAGAGCTGAAAATAGGATAAATTGACACCTTCTCCCCTACCCCCTTACTTCTCACACTTTTCGAGCGGGAAATAATAGAATACACGCATAAAGTGCCATTCCTCACTCTTACACACACACTCTCTCTCTCTACAAAAAAAACCCAGCTCCAAATCCCCCACATCACTCAACAGAAAAATCTTTTCATTTCCATGGAATATTGTTGCTGGAGCTTTGTTTGCCTACTTTGTGTTTCTTTGTTTGAAGCATTTACTGGACTAGCTAGTAGTAGTAGTAGTTGTTGTTGTTAGTGTGTGTTTTTACTTTCTCTCTCTAGTTAAAGCTAAGGTACTGTTGCTTCTACTAGGTTTCTCTCTCTAAAACTCTTTATTTGTAAATTGTTGATTTTTCTACGTTTGGGTATGATTTCTCTGTTGTTTTCAGGTAGAGTAAAAGATGGCGGTGTCGATAGATGGTTTCTCTATCAGGTGAGTAAGATTTTGTTGAAGTTTTCTACCTAAATTATGATGCGGTACCATATTTCGATGTATTTATTGTATAAAATGTCCGGTTTGGGTTAAAATAGGGAGTATACTGCGAAAATGAGGAGTGTGGACGTGGTGAAATGCTGGCCGTTCGATGAATCAACGAAGGATGTTCATGTGAGAGCTATGTTACCTCCAATTGCCGTGAAGAAATTCAGCTGGTGGCTTGATGTACTGGAATTATCAGATGATAATGTGGATTCTGATGTTATTCCAGTCACGAGAATTCGAACGGCCAGAAAAACAAAGGCTATTAAAGGAAAAGCAAAGGTTCAGAAGAAAAGGTCCATTATTGACATTTTTGCCGTGGCTCCGCAAGTGGAGAGAATGGATGACGGTGATTATTATGATGATGAGGATGACGACCATAATTGTGATATTGAAAGAGTTGAGTCTTCTGATCGGAATGTTTCTGCTATCAGAAATAGTAAAAATAAGAAGAGAAATACAAAGAAAAAGACGAAGAAGAAGGAGAAAACGATTGTGAGCAAGTTGAAGGAGGTGAATAAGGGCGTAATAAAGAAGGGTAATAAGAGGATTACGCAAAAGAAGAGAGTGAATAGTAATTGCCTGGATCTACTAATCCAAAAGAAGGTACAATACTTCTTTTTTATATACATTTGCTGTTATTTTTTGTGGTAATTTTATAAGTTGTAACTTGAAATGTATCCGATACTACATGATTTGAGATGTTGATGTAAAATTTTGTGCATAAAATAACGGTGGTGAGTACAGTTACTTAGATTTTGGGTTGGTAAAAATCTGATTTGTTTGTTCAGTATCTTTGAACTATGAACTATTCCGGTAAAACTAGTCTTTTTACCCCCTTGCTGCTTGAAATTACTGTTGAAAAATTCGCATACATCTGAATATGGAGCCATAGCTTTTTATTTGTTTGTGTTGTGTGGAAGAAAGCGACCTCATTTTAACAGTTTGGTGATTTATTTTGGATTGTCAATGGCTATGCTGTTTCTTCAGAATACTGAGATGTAAATTAAAGGTGCTTGTCATCACATTCAGCGTTTAGTACTTCTCAGAATCCCATATTTTATGATAGAAATTGTGTTGTTGCATCTAAATTGTTGGATTACTTGCTAGAGGAAGCCTCAATTAAGCCGTACATTTGGATATCTAAAGGACTATTTGCAGAAAAGGGAGTTTTCCAGATGACTTCTGTTTAGTTGACATTTATTTTGTGCATTTGATATATGTGACAAGGGGCAATTTACACCCCTTCTCCACGATTAGAAACTTGGTTGGTTGCATACAATAAGGTGAATGATCATGTCCCAGCATAATTGTAGCACGGGTATTGAGGGGTTTACTTTTTTGACTCCAAGTACAGTAATAGCCTTGTATAATTAATTAATGCTCCAGGAATTGAAGAACTATTTGTAATTTGTTTGATTTAATTTTTGCGTTTAATTTGATATTCATCAATACTAAAAATTTGATGGATTTTCGTCGGTGATTAGGCATGATATCTGAGCAGAAAATTATCGGGCTTTGAATAACATCCCTCAGATAAGATGTAATTTAAGAGCTAGGAAATTCCAAAATTCTTCCAAGTGATGTTTATCATTTCCTTCAGAAATTATGATACTATAAATGTTGCAGTATAGCTATAGCCTTGAATTTTCTTCCGGAAGTATGCTCCTCATATATAGTTTTGCTGTTTATCATTGCAAGAGTTGAGATTTGTACTCTAACACACATATACATAAACCTTTAGTTTGCTGTTTGTTTTAGAGTTTTTGATGTAAACCCCCTCCTTTTGAAAATTTAATTTTAGAAGTTTGTTTTACGATATTTCTCTTACTGTTTCTATAGGGTAGTTAGAATGATCACTTATTACATCTTTTCTGGAGTTGTCTGAGTGATAATGAATTAGTACTATTCACATGGAAAACTGGTGAATAGAGATGCCTTTTCCAAGAACTTCATTGAGGGATGAATTAGTGTGCATCTACGCGAACATAACTACGTTCTTTCACTTTTTCTTTTTCTATTTAGATAATTTCTTCTGTGTTTAATGTTTGTAGAGCTTTCAATTTTTTATTTTGTTTTCTCTTTCTGAGAAGAAAGTTGGTAAATCAGTAAAAGGATATTGATCGAGTGCCTCACTTCTCTTACACTGTAGTTTCAAGCTACTATCGATGCAGGAACAAACCGCTATAAATACGTATCTTTACGCATTAAAATGAATATATGATTAATTCAAATATATTAACCCGGCAAGAGTTGATGCTAATTGCAGCAAATCATTGTCCAAGACATTCTGCTTAATGTCACTGGATTACTGAATTGCTTTATTGTTTGGTTGGGAAGTATCTAATTTTTCTGCTATGAAACCTGAGGCTGATCACTGTTTGAATGAAAATGCAATAAATTCTCAGAGCGGCTTTATGTTACTATATATGGTTGACTGAATTTGCTTGCAGGAGAAATTTGACAAGCTCAAAGTGCCCAGTTCTTTTTCAAAACCTAGTTGTCCACAACATAGTAGGAATTGTGGGAATGACATGGCAGATTATACTCCTACCTACGGGAAGAAAGCACAAAGGACGCATCTGGTTTCAGAAAAGAAGACCAAAGGCCTAATTGATTCCAAGTTCTCCGCAAAGCACCAAAAGACGGTGATTCCAGTTTGTAGCAATCTCAAGAAAAGGACTAAACGATTTCCTGTGGAGAACTCCACAGGTGGCATTTTAAGTGGTCCCAGTGATGTAAATTTTTGCAGCAATCAACAAGGCGACAAACATGTCCCCTTCTCAGGTAAGGAAAAGATTCTTTGGCGAAATAGTAAAAGCATCTTCTGTTATTGTTTTCAGATTTTCAGATATTTTTGTAGTCTGTATTCTGACCTTGTTGCTGCCTTCATTGTACAAGACTGTGTTGCAGAGAGAGGAGAAGTTGTATCTCTCGTAGAGGAGAAAGGAACAAATAAATTTATTCTGAGAAAAACAGAAAATGAGGTTAGTGTTCGACCAGGATCTCCAAAGCAGTTATCCGCTGTGTGTAGTACAGCTGATGAACCTGGTTTACATAGGCACAATATCGGTATCAAAGATGATTCATTTGAATGCTGTGACATTTTCAATCAAGTTGCTGAGGGAAATGGCAATTTAAAATTGTTCAGGAGAGGCTATGGGGTGGCATCACATGGTTCACAGTATCTCTGTAATCCTGGGACTCTCCACGCGGCTCAACAGATATATAACCACCAAAAGAAGGCCCCAATAGATGGAAGTCTAATTAATGCTTGTGGTGCTAATGAGAGATCACATGAGCAGTTAAAAGGTTCTCTCCATGAACTTGCTGGGATTTGCTCCATGCATTCTGTGAAGGCATATCCTCACCAGTCATCAGCTTATGAAATTCTGAACAGGAAGCCTATTTTGCTGCCACAAACCATTACAGGAAGTTGCACTGGTCATATCATGCAATATCAACCATTCCCTCAAATTTCTCCTCAGGGCTTAATGTGCAAAGTGTGTTCTTTACCAGAGTGGAAGCAAAGAGAATCCATGTATGGAGAGAAGGGAATTGAAGAAAATCATGTTGGCTTGCCCCTCAACTCTCAAGGGGAATTGATCAATTTGAACTCAAACGGTGAAAGAAAGTTGACTCAACTGCCAAGCTCAAGGGAAATTGTGGGTTCTTCCAGAGGATTAGCCGTAACCGACGTTGCACTCTCAAAATGCATGGATAATCTCCCTGATGCTAGAGGTCATGATAAACGAGCACCACCAAAAGACCAGCTAAAATTGTCCTTTGTAGATGATTCAATGCAGTGGAACCCTACTTTTCCGGTGCCTTCAAGGTTAGGTATCTATGAGTATGATGCTGGAAGAACAAATGTTGAGTTGGATCCGCGTAAGGAAAATGAGCAGTCTATTACTTCTTTTGAGCTAGACCGCCATGTTAGTAATTTCTCTAACCATGGGAGCAAGCAAGATGATCAGGCCAAGCAATTTGAAACCACCAGGTGTCAGCAATATGGGAATTCTGACCATGTATCACTGCTTGTCACTCCCTCGAAAATGCGTCTGATGGGAAAAGAATTTACAGTTGGTAAAAGAGATTTTCATGTACCACAGGATAAAAGGATTTGGACAGATAAGCAGATCATTGCCGAGAATTTTTCTGCAGATAACGACAACTACAATTCAGTGGTTACAAATCATGATCAACAAAAGCTTACCGTGCATCCTGTGCTGGGGACACTGAAAGGTCTGGTCGCTTGCTCTCCTAGTATCAGAATCAATCAGGCCATTCCACAGCCTTGGGTTTGCTCCCCTGACTACAGCCATCAAATTGATTCAGTGCAGCATAATCATTTAGGTGCAATCAAACAAAGCCCTTTCACTGTTTATAATCATAAACCAAATTTTGAGGAGCCTTTTACAGGTGGATATAAATCTTTCACAATCAGCCCCTACGCTCCTGGACCAACAGCGGTTCATCATTACTCCAGTCAGAATGGGGGCTCGAGCTCTGTTGTTCTGAACAGTTCAAACTGCGCCATCAATTCTCCTTTCTTGCATCCAAATTCTGGAACGAATTTCCGGTCACCCTGGTCTCAGTTATCTTCAGAATGCACCCCATGGTTTTCAGATGCAAAAGAAAAGAAAATACTAATGGATTTTCATGAATTGTATTCTACATCTGACAGGAACCATCATCACTGCAGCATTTCTGGGGATAACCGTCAAATTGACCATTCGGTATATGTTGCATCTGAGCGCTTCTGTTCTTTCACTCAGCGCCCTGCACTGGAGAATCCAGTTGCTTCACCATCTTTGGCTAACTATCCCCCTATGCCACTCCAAATAGGTTCCAAAGCAAATGCTGGCACAAAGAAAAGACATGGTGACGTGATGAAGTTGAAAGAGAAGATCATATCTACTCCTTGTCTTAGAGAAACTGGTTACAATAGAGAGGGCAAAAAGAAGCCGCTATCTGCATCAGACAATTGTACAAATGCAAAAAACATCCCTAACTTGATGTTTCAAGAAGATCCTTCTGCAGTTGCACCATTAAATAGGCATTCTAAGTTTGAAGGTCGTTTCGGCTGCAGACAAGCATTGGAATCAGGTTTAGTTAAAGGCATGGCAAAGAGTATCGAGAGTGGCCAAAGTGGAACACCTGATGCAGGTCTTGGATCTTTTAACAGTGAAGATACTCTCAAATATGACTGTAGTCTACGATCTGGGCCCATTAAGTTAACAGCTGGAGCAAAGCACGTACTTAAGCCCTGCCAGTATAATGATCAGAAGAACTTCAGGCCAACTCATTCAACTATCCAATTTGGCGCATCTACTGCAGGTAGCACGACTCTGGAAACTGAGAACCCAACCAAGATTTACAAGTTCTAGTGGTGACCTTGATCGTCCCTTAAAATACAAGTCTTTCTGGGACAAATACTATCAGTCTCCAACTCTTGAATCGCGGGAACATCAGTTTTGCTACTTGCAGGAGACTTTTTCTCTATCCCAGTGGACTTGGAATCAGATGTAAAGTTGTCGAAACATGATGCTGCAGTTGACACGTTGACTTTTAGGCTTTACTACTAAATTATACTCTAATCGTCAGGTAACTATCTTTTGGATTGTGATATGACATTTTGATGTGGATGCCTTACTTTTGACATTCATCATTTGTGCGCTTCTTCAATCTTCAATCATTTGGAACTTTAAAATCAAACCAAACATCAATATACAGCAAAGATATCTCTGATGTTTTAATCAAACCTTATGAAGGGGTAGTAACTAAATCTTGGTTAGAATAACTGCCAGTCCGTCTAGTAACAGTTATTGCTGTCATTTTAGAATACAGAAATAGAATTTTTTCCTCCTATGGAATTGTTGCACAGCCAAGTACGTACAAAGACAACCAGCCGGTCAGAATTACAGAAATGACTAGTCTCCTGTGTTGTTTGCTTTTCTTTCAGCCTGCAAACATGTCAAAAATCCAGAATGCGTTTATCAAATGACTTCTTAGCACAAACTAGAATGGATTTAACATTGTCAAAATTCTTAAAAATGTTGTCTTACCGTTCTGAAGAAAGGTACCCGATTCAAGAGAGAATGCTTCTATTGGGAAATTTCTCCGTGGAAGAAAGGTACCCGATTAATGCATGCAAGCTTCTAGTTAGAGTTCCAATGTATGATAGACATTGAAGAAAGCTGTCAATTGGGCTCTTTGCCGAACGAATTCCTTGTTTTTACAATGAAACGACTAAGAGCCCGTTTGGATTAGCTGATTTGAAGCAGCTGATAAGCATTAGGTGCTGACAAGTACTTTTAAGTGCTGAAACTGATTTAATAAATAAGCAGTTACGTGTTTGGATACAAGTGCTGAAATTGATAATAAGCTGCTGCAGTATTTGATAAAAAAGTGCTGATAAGTTCTTTTTCTGTTAAAATGACTTAAATAACCTTATAATTGTTTACACTTATAAAAGCGTAATTTCTTCAAAATTTTAGATTTTAGATCGATTCAAATACAAAATATTCTATTTTTCATTTTATTTTAAATACAACTGTGCTTCGATAAGATAATTTTTATGAAAAATATAATTTATTTTATGATAAGCATATAATCATAAGTTATAATACTTAATAAATTGACAAAAGTTTTTCAGTAAAAAATGAACCTAAATAGGATAAAATATTTGAAGAGAAACAAACATTGTCTTCATCACCACAACACTTAGAAAGCAATACACCAAAAAATTGATATGTCCTCATTTATTACATTCAGTTCAAAGATTAATACATAATTATATTGATATAAATATGCAAAGGAATAAAGGATTTGCTTATCTTAAATAGTCAATGAGAATTGCAAACTTGAAGAGGCGGAGGGGGGGATAGGTTGAAAAAATACTTGAGGCAATGATTATCGATGTAGGAGTTTTGTTCTAAAAAAGAATTTTTTAAGGATAAAATAGTAAAAATCTTGGTCAAACTTAAAGTGCTTATAAGCTAAAATTCATAAGCTGAGGGTGATCAGCTTATGGCTTTTGGCTTATTTTTGACTTATAAGCACTTGGCTTATAAACACTTTTAACTTTACAAAACGCGTAGATAAGCCGAAAAGCGCTTATAAGCTAGTTTGACCAGCTTATAAGCTTAGCCAAACACCCTCTAAGAAAGCAAAATTTTAATGAGAAGATCGGGATCTTTTATACGTATTTAGGTGCTTATAAATACAAGCTTAAGCTCAACCTATAGAGTTTTATACGATATATTTTTCTAGATTCTATTACATGAGGCATAAAAGAGATTATTGAAGATCATCTTGAAAATATTGATATACTTATGCATTACCCTACCAGTTTCTTTTTTGACGCTTTGGTCAACGAGCGAAACAAAGATTTTTGTTTTGCCTTAGATCATATTCCCAAAGACTGAATTCCCTATAGTGAAACAAATAAATGTGCTATATATATACAAAATGTATGAAAAACGATTAACATAACAGGCAGACTTTAGCAGGAGATGCATTTTGGAAATAATGAATGTGAGACATTTTTTTCATCTGAAGCATAGCTCGCCAATTATGATAACACTGTTAGCAATAGTGATAAAATAATGAAACGGATAGTGGCACCAAAAGTGTTCGATTCTTGTTTGTCTCAGAAATATGGAACATATTCCAATAATGAAGTCAAGGTTTATGCAGTAATTGGAGACAAGGGGGGGCAAATTGCTTTATGTCATTCTCGTGGAGTATCTAAACCTTAATTATTCCGAGAAAGCTAGCTCTAACCTTTGACGCTCTCACAGGAGAATATTATTACCACCATATATTAAGAAGATGCACTTGTATAAAGTTTCTTACACTTGTATTCTAGTACTCCAAAATTTTACAAGTTGTATATATTTCTACTTTAACAAAAAACATTTATAAAAATAAACCACTTGAACATTTTTAAGCAATGGAAAATAAGATGAAATGAAAATAATAATAACAATAATAATAATAATAATAATAATAATAATAAAGAGAGTGCGATATAGTGGAAAATTAGGTTAACCCTACATATTGTTAAGTCATAGGAGAGACGTGGGGCACTGGGGCAATTCTAGGTAATGTTCATTGTTTAGCCTTACATATCAATAAATGTGAGATTCTTCAATTTGGGTATGAGGCAGCTGCAGTGAAATATTATTTATGAAAAGAAGTAGAAGAACCGGAAAAGAAAGAAAAAAAGAGATAAATTTGAAGAACTAGTTGGTGGAAAACATTTGAAAAAAAAAACTTATGTATTTGAATTAGTTTGTGAGAAATAGTATGTAAAGAACATCATTTGTATTATTTTTAGTAGGAATACCTTTGGATTCTTTTAGGTTTGTGGAATTGTAGAAGAGTTTTTGGGTCTTCTGACAGTCCTATTGCTAAGACATTTTCAAGAGCTCTATTAAAACGATTCAATCCAACCATCATTATTTTTCGGGAAAAGGCCCAAAAATGATCTTGTGATATTCGAAATGGATCAATTATAACCCCCGTTTAAACTTGAGTCCAAAAATGACCATGCCGTTATAAAATGGGTCTAATAATGCCCTTGTGTTATTCGAAATGGATCAATTATAACCCTCGTTTAAATTTGAGCCCACTAATGACCCTGCCGTTAAAGAACGAGTCTAATACTGCTATTTTCCTCAGTTAGTAATGATTAGGGGTGTAAATGGATATTTAAAAACTGACTAAACCGATAGAATTATACTGTGTCGAACCAATTTTTAGGTTTCTTTTAATAAAAATGTAGGTTTTTATATAAATCTATAACCGTACCGATAATTAGGGTATATTTTTTATTTTATAAAAATAAACCGAAAAAATATCGAATCGTACCAAATAAATTTACATGTGAATGTATGTTTCACATGTAAATATATCGGACCTATTATTAGACCTAATATAAATATATGTTTCATATATAAATTTATTCGGTACAATTCGATATTTATATATTAAGTTTAAAAATGATAATGGGTCTAATATTTATAAAGAATGGGTCTAATATTTATATTTATAAATAATAATGTATTAATATAAATAATGTACAAATTTTAATATATTATTATTTTTAAACTTAATATATAAATATATGTTTTACATATAAATTTATTCGGTACAGTTCGATATTTTTTCGGTTTATTTTTATAAAATAAAAAATCTACCCTAATTATCGGTACAGTTATAGATTTATATAAAAACCTACGTTTTTATTAAAAGAAACCTAAAAATTGGTTCGACACGGTACAGTTCTATCGGTTTAGTCGGTTTTTAAATATCCATTTACACCCCTAATCATTACTAACCGAGGGAAATAACAATATTAAAGTATTAGACCCATTCTTTAACGGCAGGGTCATTAGTGGGCTCAAATTTAAATGAGGGTTATAATTGATCCATTTCGAATAACACAAGGGCATTATTAGACCCATTATATAACGACATGATCATTTTAGGACTCAACTTTAAACGGGGGTTATAATTGATCCATTTCGAATAACACAAGGGCATTATTAGACCCATTATATAACGACATGATCATTTTTGGACTCAACTTTAAACGGGGGTTATAATTGATCCATTTCGAATACCACAAGGTCAGTTTTTGGGCCTTTTCAGTTATTTTTCATGTATGTCTTGAACAACTTTTGTGAACCAAACAACATACTTAGGAGATTGAGAACCCAATTCTTAACCCAATAATAGGATATTAATTATTAATAATGGACAAAATTAGATCCGAAACCAGAATTTTTATTAAAGGGGTCAAAATATTATAAATTAGACATATAAAAAAAAAATTGATATGCACAATGTAATTTTTTGATGAATGGGTGTCGGTTGACTCCTCCTGGGCAAGCTAGCTCCGTCCCAAGACAAAACTAATTACTTATGTTTTTACCAAGTTTATAGCAACACAAATATTTTTGTGTTATTATTTTTTAACATAAAATGGAAGAAGTAATAGCCCCTCCGTTCCTATTTAATTATCATGTATACTAAATAGTTGTTTCTAAATACTTATTATTTTAGAAAATCAAGAGATAATTAGTTATTTCTTTTCAACTTTACCTTTTGCATTAATTGTTCTGGAATTAAGAGGCACAATAAATAGACAGCGATTGAAGAATAGTAAGGGGTAAATTAGTCAAACTATTCTTATTGTCAAACTATTCTTATTAATGTTTTCTTAATGGACGTACGGAACCTTATCCTGACAACTTAATGAAAACGGAAGAAGTATTTTTCCATAGATGGGTTTATTCTGACAACTTAATGACTACTTATAAATTTAGGAAAATGACACTTTATAGCCGTTCTCAAAATAATAGTCAAAAAAATATATATATTTTTATATATTTTTGGTATATATATACATATTGTATGTTATATACAAAAATTATACAAATTTTGTACTTTTTTGGCTACCAAATATAAGTAATTTTTAGCGCGGACTAAAAGTGATAATACCTCTATAAATTTTTTAAAAGCCTAGAATAAAGAAATAAAGGTTTAAGTTTGAGCCAAATCTTCTATATTATATTAAAAGGAGGATATTGAAGCATGAGTTAAGCCAAGTGGTGTATTGAGAAAAAGCCACTTTACATTTTTAAAACAAAATTTAAATAG